TTCTAAAATTTTCTCTTATACGTTTAATGATATATTTTTTTCATTAATGTTAATGTAAAATTTATAATTTTGCACCAAAATGAACTTAGAAAACTTACCTAACCTTATTATAACAAGCGCAATTTATTTTAGCCTAACCCAGCTAAATATATTTTAGATTTCTTTACAATAATTTAATACTAAACAAACACAGTGAAATATATTTTTTTCGTTAGGTTCAGAATGATTTTGGCGAAATTATTGCATACACAAATTTTCACTTGTCCTATATGGCAAGATAAGAGTTGCTATTTAAAGGAGGGGTTTGGGATATTGGCAGTTTGGAGGGATATGTTGTGTATCTTTATGTGTGTATTTTTCTAGACTGTTGTATTCTGAGCACCTCTGCAAAAACAGTGATAATGTGCAAGTGTGGTGAAAGTGTTGAATGATGATGAAAGTATTTTCTTTTTGGGGATTTTCTTTCTTTTTTTGGGTCACCCTACCTCGGTGGGAGACGGCCGACTTGTTGAAAAAAAAAAAAAAAAAAAAAAAAAAAATATATATATATATATATATATATATATATATATATATTATATATATATATATATATATATATATATATATATATTATTGTAGCCAAAAACAAGTGGTATTTAATGAATAACAAACCCGGCTAGTCGGGGGATCGAACCTGTGTTGTTGTAGCCCGTCTAGTGTGAAGACAGCGAAAATTCACAACGCTCTAAACCCCTGTCCCCTCAGGGAAGGTTCCTTGAAGTTGATGAGGGGCTCTTGATTTAGGGAATTGGATCAGTGCTCCAGTTCCCCGAATTAAGCCTGAATGCCTTCCACATCCCCCCCCCAGGCGCTGTATAATCCTACGGGTTTAGCGCTTCCCCCTTGATTATAATAATAATAATCTAAACCCCTGTACCATTTAATCCTACAAACAATATGAGCCTAGCGAACTAGGCTTGCTTCATGTTGCCAGGACATACGATTGTGTGATTTCCTCAGAACTAATTTCATTCTACTCTCCGTTTGGTGTACTAGTCTCCACAAGCAGAACATATATTATTATAACCACGAACAAGTGGTATTTAATCAGTAACAAACTGCGGCTAGCCGGAGGATCGAATACACATAAGTGAACAGTATTTAGATAAGGGTAAAAAGGTTTTTGTGGCATTTATGGATTGGAAAAAGATATATGATAGGGTGGATAGGGGTGGGGCAGTGTGGCAGATGTTGCAAATGTATGGAATAGGAGGTAGGTTATTGAAAGCAGTGAAGAGTCTTTATGAGGATAGTGAGGTGAGAGGGAGATTATTTCCCAGTAAAAGTAGGCCTTAGACAGGGATGTGTGATGTCACCATGATTGTTCAATATATTTACAGATGGAATAGTAAGAGAAGTGAATACTCGGGTGTTGGCAATAGGTGTGGGGTTAAAAGATAAAGAATCTAACACATAGTGGGAATTGTCACAGTTGCTCTTTGCTGATGACACTGTGCTTTTGGGAGATTCTGAAGAGAAGTTGGAGAGGTTGGTTGATGAGTTTGGTAGGCTGTGCAAAAGAAGGAAGTTAAAAGTGAATATATGAAAGAGGAAGGTAATAAGGATAACAAAAAAAAATAGGTAATGGAAGATTGAATATCAGATCGGAGGGAGAGAGTATGGAGGAGGTGAATGTGTTCATATATTTGGGAGTGGACGTGTCAGCAGATGGGTCTATGAAGGATGAGGTGAATCATAGAATTGATGAGGGGAAAAGGGTGAATGGTGCACTCAGGAGTCCGTAGAGACAAAGAACTTTATCCATGAAAGCAAAGAGGAGAATGTATGAGAGTATAGTTATATCAGTGCTCTTGTATGGGTGTGAAACATGGGTTGTGAATGTTTTAACAAGGAGAAGGCTGGAGGCAGTGGAGATGTCATGTCTAAGGGCAATGTGTGATGTAAATATAATGCAGAGAATCCATAGTTTGTAGATTAGGAGGAGGTGTGAGATTACCAAAACTATTATCCAGAGGGCTGAGTAGGGGTTATTGAGATGGTTTGGACATGTAGAGAGGATGGAACGAAATAGAATGACTTCGAGAGTATACAGTTTTGTAGTGGGAAGGGTAGGCGGTGGTAAAGGAGAGATGTTTTGTGTGCGAGGGACTTGGATTTCCTGCAAGCGTGCGTGAGCGTGTTAGACAGGAGAGAATAGAGACAAATGGTTTCTAGGACTTGACGCGCTGTTGGAGTGTAAGCAAGGTAACATTTATGAAGGGATTCAGGGAAACCGGCAGGCCGGACTTGAGTCCTGGAGATGGGAAGTACAGTGCCTGCACTCTGAAGGAAGGGTGTTAATGTTGTAGTTTAAAAACTGTAGTGTAAAGCACCCTTCTGGCAAGACAGTGATGGAGTGAATGATGAAAGTTTTTCTTTTTTGGGCCACCCTGCTTTGGTGGGAATCAGGCGATGTGTTAATAATAATAATAATAATAATAATAATAATAATAATATATATAATGTAAGTTATTAACCTAGTCACAGTTTAATCGTAATTGTTTCAGGAGAGCCGGTAATAGTGTGACCAGAATAATTTGTATTTGTTTCTATTTTGTTACCCAGTATAATGGTTAATTTCCTCTCTTCTGCCCCATTTACCCACAAGGATCCAAGCGACGGAAAGGTAGGACTGAGCTGCCTCTCCCAGCTACAAACTAACTGACGATCCACACAAAACTAAAATAATCCAGAGGTCTTGGTGATGGTATCATCATCCATCAGTGCATCATTAGATAATGTTTCACCGTAGTCTTAAAAAATACTCTTGTTTGAGCTAAAGTGTGGATAGTGTTGCTGCATATAACTTAAAGGAATGGTGTGTAGATAGTACTGCATAAAGACGAGTGACCGTGTGATAACATGCCAGTGAATGACCCACTCCTGGATGACAATGTAGATCAGGCCTGCTGGAGTGCTGTTTGCTCCGCTTCTCTTTAGAAATGCATAGCTGAATCTTTGATAGCTTTTTCACATCAAAAACACTGTAATAACCTGGAGCTGGTGCCACTAAACAGTACTAGTAGTAGCGAGTGTGATGTGCCTTGTATCCGTCGAGTGCATGCGTGGGAATATCCAGAGAGTATTTGTGCATCATGACAATTCTTCTACTTGACACCGAGAACGTCTTCGGCACACTTCATTCGTTACTAGTATTGTTATTGGCACCGGTATCTTGTTTCTTCACTAGTTATACCGAGGTTAACACAAGCTGAGCATGAAGGCTGTTGACGTACTGCTGTTTGGATGCCATGTGTTTGCAGGTCATTATTGATATCTCTTGAATGAACTTGGCTTTAAAAGGTGAGTCTGAATCTTAGAGTGTTCCCCTTCCTCTTACTCTCCCTCCCTCCCTTGAAATATCGCTTCCTTCCCTAAATCTATCCCAACCCAAGTTCCCTTCATCTCTTCTGATACTTCCCCATACACTCTCCTTCCTTAACAACCTGCAACTTTTACATTACCTTTCCGTTTGCTTCATATTATAGACATCACTCAGCATTCACAATGAAAAGTACATTGTGTAACACACACACACACACACACACACACACACACACACACACACACACACACACACACACACACACACACACACACGCACACAAACCTAAGAACAGCATTCCGACATCTAAATAAGGACTAATTCAAGACCCTGTACACTGTGTACGTTAGGTCCGTATTGGAATATGCAGCACCAATTTGGAACCCTCACCTAGCCAAGCATGTAAGGAAACTAGAGAAAATGCAAAGGTTTGCAAGAAGACTAATCCCGGAGCTAAGGGGTATGTCCTACGAGGAGAGGTTAAGGGAAATCAACCTGACGACACTGGAAGACAGGAGAGATAGGGGGGATGTAATAACGACATATAAAATACTGAGAGGTATAGACAAGGTGGACAGAGACAGGATGTTCCAGAGATGGAACATAGCAACAATGGGTCACATTTGGAAGTTGAAGACTCAGATGAATCATAGGAATGTTAGGAAGTATTTCTTCAGTCACAGAGTTGTCAGGAAGTGGAATAGCCTGGGTAGTGATGTAGTAGAGGCAGGATCCATACATAGCTTTAAGAAGAGGTATGATAAAGCTCACGGAGCGGAAAGAGTGACTGAGTAACGACCAGTTGAAGAGGCGGGGCCAGGAGCTGTGACTCGACCCCAGCAACCACAACTAGGTGAACACACACACACACACACACACACACACACACACACACACACACACACAACACACACACACACACACACACACACGAACACACACACACACACACACACACACACTTACACACACACACACACACACACACACACACACACAACACACACACAGTCACCACCACACACCACACACACACACACCACACAGCACACACACTCAAACACACACACACACACACACACCAACACCACACACGACACATGCACACACACACACACACACACCACACACACACACACACACACACACACTACAATTGAAGACGGGACACCACGAGCGTAGCTCTGCTCCCGTAGCTACAAACAGGTAATCACACACGTGTTTAACATCTGGTATCATCAGTATGTCTTTGCTGAAAACACAATGATACTAGAGGGCACAGGAAAGGTCCCCTCACAGCCAGCCCCACGTCGCTGCTACACTCTCGCTCACAAGAATAGGAGGAAGGAGTTCGCTAGTTCTGAACGACAGCTTGCACACCATCGCACTTAATCAGGCCAGCTGGCCCTAACAAGCGCTGCCCTCAGAATGAACCTAACAGTTGCTGCTCAGTTTGTAATAACAATCACAGGTGTTGTAATGCTGTCGCTGGTAGTGTTGCAGTAATAACGATAGTAGTGTTGCAACTGTATTTGTAACTTGTATCGTGATGCATTCTCAGTAGTCATTAACCAAACTAATTAATAGAAGTTAGTAACATTTTGTTTGATGTATGGAAATTACGTCATTACAAGTATTAATAAGTTGTTTATATATAATAATTTTGTTTTCGCTATTCAGTGTAGATTGGTTTATGTAGATAAAGACATATGCACAATGCAACATTCAAAGATTTATTTTGCTGTACTGATATATATTTGATATTTGCATTATTTTGCTCAAATCAGTGCTTAGTCTGTAATTATACATTGTTAACAAAAGAACATTAAGTTATTCCTTGTGATAAAAGACACTTCTTAAGGTTTAACAGTATGTCTATAATAAAGAAAGGTTTATCTGTGGTGTGGTACGGGTCAGTATGCACCACAGATCACTGTCAGGACGTGGGCGTGTGGGCGTGCAGCACCGTGGAGTGGACGCAGGCCATCTTTCCTAATTTATTGGGTCAGGGTCCACGAGAAGCGGAACCCATCGCCTCTCAGTTCTGGCATCAAATCCACACCATCAACTGCAGTCACGAGTTCCGCTTTGTGGTATGTGGGTTGCTGGCTCCCCCTTGTGCCCCAGGCCTCACCAAGCCGCTACCACCTTGTAGGGAGGTCTGCGATTCTGCAATAAACCAGTGTCTACAAATCATGGAAAAGTATTACCTGAGGTGGCCTGAAGACACGTTCACCTGCCGGGAACTGCCTTACAGCCATCAGCAGCCCTGCCTCAGGTACCACCAAGGTCAAGTGGTTTTCCCTCCAGGGGTCAGCACCGACTGCTCCATTCAAGATTATAACTACAACTACAACTACGACTATGATAGCTACGATCAGCTGCCTGCACTCACCCTCCACGAGGACTACGTTTTAGTTGGGTCGGGAGAGGAACCTGACGATGACCTGGGCTTCGTCTCCTCGAGAGAACTCGAAACCTACGACGAGAACTATGAGTTGTTCGATATACCGCCTTTCACAAACACCACTATCACCTCCCCAACACCCTCAACCACCACAGCCATTACATCCACATCCTCCACCACCAGAACCACTACATTCACCTCCACAGACACTCCCACCACCACTACAGGGACGTTAACTAACTCCATTACTACAACAGATTCCTCAGCAGTTCCACCTGGTCCCACAACTTCCCTGACACTCCCTTCTAATCCTCCAGGCTTTTCAGCAGCCAATCCTAACCCTACAGACTCTTTAACAGTGCTTCCTAATCCTGTATCCTTATCGACTGACCATCCTAACCCCATATCTTCAACAGTCCTTCCTAACCCCACAGTCTCAACAGCCCATCCTAATCCCACAGACATTACCACCATAAAGATTAGGTTTGCTCCTGCCCCAACCCCTAGCACAGCCCTTCCTACGCGTCAACCAGCGACATCCACCGATCATGGCATTAGTTATCTCCATAGGAGTGAGATAATCAATGGTTAGTTGAGAAGATATAGTCATCATCTAACAGGAGTGGGTTATTTAATGTATTTTTATATAGTTCCTAAATTATAAGTATTTAATCATCACAAGACCACAAACTGGAAAAAAAAGTTGGACTGCATTTTTTTTTTTGTCTGTCATAGATCATTCTAAAGCCATGAATGAGTAAAAAGGATAAGGCAGTATGAAAGTCCAAGTCAGTGGAAGATGAGGAGACTACTAAATAATCTAGTTCGTACATCTGCTACTAATGCTTTCAGAGTCTACTCCATTTTCTGCTTCTATTGTTCTCTCCAAAATATTGGAGAGGACAAGAGCAGAAAAAAAGTGTTAGACCTGCCGACAGTAATGCTCTTTTCTGTCATGTTAGAGATCGCAGTCATCCTATTAACTGGTCCTCTGCCAAAACTGTCAATCCTTCTAGGCTTCGCGGACGCCGTCTTGTTGAAGCATCCCTTACATACAACTTTCCTAATATGAATATTAGTCCTGGCTTCGTCTTTGTAGATACCTTCCTTTCTCATTACATTGTCAGATGCTCCAAATTTCCAAATACTCGTGACTTGACATGATCTTTATCACCCTTCCCCCGTTTCCTATATTTCCTTTGTTTTTCCTTTCTTCTGCCTAGGTGGGTTCTGTCTTATGAGTTATCTCCCTTGGGTTTTGTCCTACACTCTAGAACCATTAGCTCTCCTGCAGTACTCCTTTTTCTTTTTTTTCTCTTGTTCTTAGACTACCTCCACTACTATTACTACTACTACTGCAGCTTCACTAACACCCCAATTTCTGCCTCTGTCACTACCACTACTCACTTCTTATTGCCACCTCTGCCACTGTTGCACTGCTTTACTATTAGTACCACCACCACTCACTACTACTACTACTACCTCAACCACTACTTCAACCATTGTACTAGTACCTCCTCTCGTTTTACTCCCGCACCTCCCCCCACTTGTATATATACTAGGCTCTCTTCCCTTCGTGTTTCTGTGTGACTAGTTAATGGTTCAAGTCGGACCCAAACGTCGTCATAAGCTCCTCTCTCCTATGTGCGGGTTATTTGTGTATTGTTCCAGTCACAGTATTGTGCCTTTTATTCTTTACGTATTTATATATGGTTACAGTCATACCGAGTTATTTATGCAGACAAAGATTACTCAACATTATCAAACATTACTCGTCTGATTAATATCAGCCAGGCGAGTAATAATGAATAAATTTAATATTTATTATATTTCCTAAATATTGTCTTTTACCTTATGAGGTTCACACAATGAGGGGTCACACAGTGAGGTTCACACAGTGAGGTTCACACAGTGAGGTTCACACTGAGGTTCACACAATGAGGTTCACAGTGTTCACACTGTGATTCACACAGCGACGCTTACACTGAAGATAGGGGAAGGGCACAGAAGACCACAGACAGAGTATAGGCTAGGTGGCCAAAGACTGCAAACCTCACTCAAGGAGAAAGATCTTGGGGTGAGTATAACACCGAGCATGTCTCCGGAAGCACACATCAATCAGATAACTGCTGCAGCATATGGGCGCCTGGCAAACCTGAGAACAGCATTCCGACACCTTAGTAAGGAATCATTCAAGACACTGTACACCGTGTATGTCAGGCCCATACTGGAGTATGCAGCACCTGTTTGGAACCCGCACTTGATAAAGCACGTCAAGAAATTTAAGAAAGTACAAAGGTTTGCAACAAGGTTAGTCCAGAGCAAAGGGGGAATGTCCTATGAAGAAAGATTAAGGGAAATGGGCCCCTGACGACACTGGAGGACAGGAGGGTCAGGGAGGACATGATAACGACATATAAAATACTGCGTGGAATAGACAAGGGGGAAACAAGGACAGGATGTTCCAGGGAGGGGACACAGAAACAAGGGGCCCACAATTGAATTGAAGACACAAATGAATCAAGAGATAGGAAGTATTTCTTCAGTCATAGAGTGTAAGGCAGTGGAATAGCCTAGAAAATGACGTAGTGGAGGCAGGAACCATACACAGTTTTAAGACGAGGTTTGATAAAGCTCATGGAGCGGGGAGAGAGAGGGTCTAGTAGCAACCGGTGAAGAGGCGGGGCCAGGAGCTAGGACTCGACCCCTGCAACCACAAATAGGTGAGTACAAATAGGTGAGTACTGAGGTTCACACAGTGAGGCTCACACAGTGAGGTTCACACAGTGAGGTTCAGTGAAGCTCACAGTGTAAGGTTCAGAGTGAGGCTCACACAGTGAGGTACAGTGAAGCTCACACAGTAAGGTTCAGAGTGAGGCTCACACAGTGAGGTACAGTGAAGCTCACACAGTAAGGTTCAGGGTGAGGCTCACAAGTGAGGTAAAAGTGACGCTCACACATTTAAGTTCAGAGTGAGGCTCACACAGTGAGGTACAGTGAGCTCACACAGTAAGGTTCAGAGTGGGGCTCACACAGTAAAGGTACAGTGAAGCTCACACAGAAAAGGTTCAGGGTGAGGCTCACACAGTGGGGTTTCCCAGTGACGCTCACACAGTAAGGTTCAGAGTGAGGCTCACACAGTGAGGTACAGTGACGCTCACACAGTAAGGTTCAGAGTGAGGCTCACAGTGAGGTACAGTGAAGCTCACACAGTAAGGTTCAGAGTGAGGCTCACACAGTGAGGTACAGTGAAGCTCACACAGTAAGGTTCAGAGTGAGGTTCACACAGTGAGGTACAGTGGCGCTCACACAGTAAGGTTCAGAGTGAGGCTCACACAGTGAGGTTCAGTGAAGCTCACACAGTAAGGTTCACAGCGTGGTTCACACAGTATATCTACACACTTGTGTCGAGACTGCCTGTTCTCAATAATTCTTAACCACTTAAATTTGTCTAAATTCAACCATACCTTCCTAAAGTACAAGTTGATGTAAATAATACAAAACAAAATATTTTTGTGACTGAATTCAAGCATACATAAACAACTCATTACGACTAACCGGATACAAGCACCTAGTTCATTACATCTATAAACTGCATATATATCAAAACTTGGACGTTGGATGTGGGGTGCATTATAAAGATAAACTAATGAGTGCCAGATACTGAACAACATACTATTTTTTTTTTTTTTGCTGGGGGTATTAGTCTTGTTCGAAATTTTAAGATCTGAATTTGTAAGTCTTTCCCTGCTCGAGCTTTTACAAATTACCGTCTTGTTGAATCGGCTCTAATATTGTATACAAAATCTCAAGTAAGAATCTTAGTCCCCGGCTTCCTTTCTGTAAGATGCTTATCTCTCCCAGTTCACTTGACACGTCTTAGGAACACACCAGACTTAATATTTGCCGTCGTCACTGCCTCACAGCCTGGCCGTCTTCCCTGTCTCACTTCCTTAATTTTTAAAGGGATGGACAGGTAAGTCAGTGGAAGGCCTCTGTCAAATGATCAAAAGCTCCAGTGGCGGGTCATCATATGACTGAGACTTGCATCAGAAAGCACTTGTCCTGTTTCCTGGCAAATCTTACCTAATCTTCACTGTTTTGTTGCCTTGTCCTCACTGTTTCATTGATTTGTTGCCTTTACTGTATTGCCGTCTTACCTGTATCAGTGCTTTGTCTTCCCTGTCTCACTACCTTACCATCTTTTCTGTCTTACTGTCCTGTAATCTTCCGTGTCTTACTGCCTTGTCGTCTTCCATCTTGCTGCCTTGGCTTCACTGTCCTACTGTCTTGTCTACCATCTTGCTCCCTTGTCTTCACTGTCTTACTGCCTTGTCGTCTTCCATCTTGCTCCCTTGTCTTCAGTCTTACTGTCTTGTCGTCTTCCATCTTGCTCCCTTGCCTTACTGCCTTGTCGTTTTCCATCTTGCTGCCTTGTCTTCACTCTTACTGTCTTATCGTCTTCCATCTTGCTCCCTTGCCTTACTTCCTTGTCGTTTTCCATCTTGCTGCCTTGGCTTCACTGTCTTACTGCCTTGTTGTCCTCCATCTTGCTGCCTTGTCTTCACTGTCTTACTACCTTGTCGTCTTCCTTCTTGCTACCTTGTCTCTACTGTCTCCCTGCCATGTCGTCTTCCATCTTCCTCCCTTGTCTTACTGCCTTGTCGTTTTCCATCTTGCTGCCTTGTCTTCACTGTCTTACTGCCTTGTCGTCTTCCATCTTGCTGCCTTGTCTTCACCGTCTTACTGTCTTGTCTTCCATCTTGCTCTCTTGTCTTTACTGTCTTACTGCCTTGTCGTCTTCCATCTTGCTGCCTTGTCTCCACTGTCTCACTGCCTTGTCGTCTTCTATCTTGCTCCCTTGTCTTACTGCCTTGTCGTTTTCCATCTTGCTGCCTTGTCTTCACTGACTTACTGTCTTGCCGTCTTCCATCTTGCACTCTTGTCTTTACTGTCTTACTGTCTTGTCGTCTTCCATCTTGCTGCTTTGTCTCCACTGTCTCACAGCCTTGTCGTCTTCACTTTATGATGATCCAGTTCCGTTATCCAGTTTTTGGTCTTGTGAGTTATTCCATCCCCGGTACTGTCATTTATATTCTTCATGTGTATTTAAACTTAAAATATCACAGCATATCCTCTCCATAAAAATAATTACAAAATTATTTGTTTATATGCACTGATTTTTACTCTATTCCAACAACAGAGGACTTCAGTCTTCCTGGAGAGAAAGGCGAGAAGGGGGAGAGAGGGCCCAGGGTGAGTAACCTATTGTGTGTGTGTGTGTGCCTGGAATCCTTTGCAACAGGTGACCATGCTTTATTATTGTTCCCCAGTAATGTGTTATGTACCATTTTCTCTGACACCTTAAAATATAAAGAAAACGTAAGTTAGCCATTTTCTCTGTAAACCTCTAACACTTTTGGGGCCTAGTTCGTGGGCCTTTTGTGTATCCATATATTCTTGCGCTGCCGTCCATAGGATGGATATGGGGTGCACAAAAACTATCCACTTAGGTGGGAAAAATAAAAAAAAATACTAAAATATACAAAAAACAAAACAAAAGGTTAAAGTAAGCCCTTTGTAAATAATAGCAGATGGACAAGAATAATAATGATCATGTTTTATTTCTTTGAGCCGCACAGATAATGTAGATACATAGATGCATGAGTAAAATAGTAGGAACAAAAGAAAGTCAATAATTATGCAATGTATTTCATTTCGGGCAACTAATCATAAGACTTAATACATACTACTGAAGACAGCCATTATGACCAATTACAAAATAATTATATATTATTTAAACTGGTTCAATGATCTTGAGTTTTATAGCATGATTGAATAGAGGTGGTGAAAATATAGTTAGTTACCTAAATTACAAGTCTTATGGGACAATATGTGCTACCAGTTGTATGAAGGAAGACTGGAAGAAGAACTGGGGCACAATTAGATGAGGACAGACATAGTTAGACACGCGTCTACATTACATTAAGGAGATGAGATGCATTTTAACAATATTTCTGAAGCCAGTGATTATCCTCTTGAAACCACTTGTTCTCTAGGCGGGAATACTACTAGTAACTTTATTTAGATACAGTTACCCATAAATACAGTTATCGTGCATAGGTGAAATTGCTAAGCTTGAGAATATATAGAAAACTTTCACTACACATATAAGTACAACAAATCACCTAAATTACTGGGACTGTTTGAAGTCCCTTGACCTGAACTCCTTGGAATACAGGTGAGAAAGATGCATCATAAATTACACCTGAAAAATCCAAGAGGAACTAGTCTTAAATCTGCACGCGGAAATCACTCCCTTTGAAACCAAAAGACTTGGCAGGTGGTGCAACATCCCCCAATGAAAAGCAGAGGTGCCATGAGTATGCTAAGAGATGGCAAAATAAGTTTCAGGGGCCCAAGATTGTTCAGTTGCCTCCCAGCATACGTAAGGAGGATTACCAATAAACTCCTGTCTGTCTTCAAGAGGGAGCTGGACAGACACCTGAAGTCAGTATGTACCTGACCAGCTGGGCTGTGGTTGCTCACGCTTCACATGGTGAGGGGCCGAGTTCGATTCCTGGCGAAGGGATGGAAACATCGGATGTGTTTCCTTACACCGGTTGTCCATGTTCACCCATTAGTAATAATGAGTACCTGGGTGTTAGTTGACTGGTGTGGGTCGCATCCTGGGACAAAACTGACCGAATTTGCCCGAAATGGTCTGCATAACAAGCGGCTTTCTATATAGTAGTATGTCATTGATGTCAGCTATGGTCTGTATACCTTGCACATGTACTTGTAGTAAATAACTATATATAACTATATATTATATTATATTATATATATATATATATATAATATATATATTATATATATATATATATATATATATATATATATATATATATATATATATTGTGGATTGCATGTGGCCATCAGTAACAACTGGGTTGAGCAGGCCCTGATCTACCATGAGACCTGGTCATAGACCAGAATGTGGGGGCGTTGACCCCCGGAACACCCTCCAAATAGAGACTTAAAGCAGGCAGGGAGATCCAGATTTTAGGGCCTTGTCTAGCACTGGATTGGGTAATTGTTCATACAACAATTATTATTGGTTTTAGGTGATTTGATGTAGTAGGAATTATGACATTTATTGAAATTCAGTTAATGTTTCTATGACACTTCAGCACCATACAAAATACTGTGTGGAATAGACAAGGTGGACAGAGACAGGATGTTCCAGAGATGGGACACAGAAACAAGGGGTCACAATTGGAAGTTGAAGACCCAGATGAGTCAAAGGGATGTTAGAAAGTATTTCTTCAGTCATAGAGTTGTCAGGAAGTGGAATAGCCTAGCAAGTGAGGTAGTAGAGGCAGGAACCATACATAGCTTTAAGATAGGTATGATAAAGCTCATGGAGCAGGGAGAGAAAGGACCTAGTAGCACTCAGTGAAGAGGTGGGGCCAGGCGCTGAGTCTCGACCCCTGCAACCACAATTAGGTGAGTATACACACACATACAAAAAAAAGGAATGTGTTCATACATAACCAACACAGCTGTAGAGAGGGTAAGTCCTATCCCACAAACCTACTGGACTTCTACAACAAGGGAACAAATGTAAGACAGGAGAGAGAGGAATGGATATATTACATTTACTGGGGCTGTAAGAAGGATTTTGACACAGTACTGTACAAGAGAGTAGTGGAAAAGGTAGAGGAGCATGCAGGAATAACAGGGAAGGCACTACAGGAAGAAAATAATGAGTGATTGTCCAAGAAGAGGTGTGGGAATGGGTGCATGTGACAAATGGGATTCCACAAGGGTCAGTACTCAGGTTGGTGCTGTTTCTTGTAACGTGAATGACATGATGGAAGGGATAACTGGAGTATACCTGGAGGGTGTTCTGGGGGGAACAGCACCCCAGCAGCCCAGTCCATGGGGTGGATCAGGACCTAATCAGCCAGGCTGTTACTGCTAGCTGCACACTGAACCACAGCCCAGCTGGTCAGGTACTGACTTTAGGTGCAAGAAGTAAACCAATTGCAAAGAACTACAGACCGATAGCACTAATATCTCATATCATTAAAATCTTTGAAAGGGTTCTAATTATTATTATTATTATAATCAAGGGGGAAGCGCTAAACCCGGAGGATTATACAGTGCCTGGGGGGGATGTGGAAGGCATTCAGGCTTAATTCGTGGAACTGGAGCACAGATCCAATTCCCTAAATCAAGAGCCCCTCACCAACATCAAGGAACCTTCCTTGAGGGGAGTGAAAGGGTTCTAAGAAGCAAGATCGCCAGCTAGATACCCATCAGTTACGCAACTCAGGGAAACACGGGTTTAGAAGGGGTTGCTCCTGCATGACCCAGTTACTGGACCACTATGACAAGGTCCTGGATGCTATAGAGGATAAACAAAATGGAGATGTAGTATACACAGACTTTGCAAAAACTTTTGACAAGTGTGACAATGGTATAATAGCGCACAAAATTCATGATAAAGGAATGACAGGAAAAGTTGCCAGATGGGTCTATAACTTCCTAACAAATCGAGTACAATGAGTACCTGGAGTTTACCTGGAGAGAGTTCCGGGGGTCAACGCCTCCACGGCCCGGTCTGTGACCAGGCCTCCTGGTGGATCAGAGCCTGATCAACCAAGCTGTTACTGCTGGCTGCACGCAATCCAACTTACGAGCCACAGCCCGGCTGGTCAGGAACCGACTTTAGGTGCTTGTCTAGTGCCTGCTTGAAGACTGCCATGGGTCTATTGGTAATCCCCCTTATGTATGCTCGGAGGCAGTTGAACAGTCTCGGGCCCCTGACACTTATTGTTTTGTTTCTTAATGTGCTAGTGACACCCCTGCTTTTCATTGGGGGGATGTTGCATCGTCTGCCGAGTCTTTTGCTTTCGTTGTGAGTGATTTTCATGTGCAAGTTCGGTACTAGTCCCTCTAGGATTTTCCAGGTGTGTATAATCATGTATCTCTCCCACCTGCGTTCCAGGGAGTACAGGTTCAGGAACTTCAAGCGCTCCCAGTAACTGAGGTGTTTTATCTCCGTTATGCGCGCCGTGAAGGTTCTCTGTACATTTTCTAGGTCAGCAATTTCACCTGCCTTGAAAGATGCTGTTAGTGTGCAGCAATATTCCAGCCTAGATAGAACAAGCGACCTGAAGAGTGTCATCATGGGCTTGGCATCCCTAGTTTTGAAGGTTCTCATTATCCATCCTGTCATTTTTCTAGCAGATGCGATTGATACAATGTTATGGTCCTTGAAGGTGAGATCCTCCAACATGATCACTCCCAGGTCATTGACGTTCGTTTTTCGCTCTATTTTGTGGCCGGAATTTGTTTTGTACTCTGATGAAGTTTTAATTTCCTCATGTTTACCATATCGGAGTAATTAAAATTTCCCATCGTTGAACTTCATATTGTTTTCTGCAGCCCATTGAAAGATTTGGTTGATGTTCGCCTGGAGCCTTGCAATGTCTGCAATGGAAGACACTGTCATGCAGATTCGGGTGCCATCTGCAAAGGAAAACATGGGGCTGTGGCTGACATCCTTGACTATGTCAGATATGAGGATGAGAAACAAGACGGGAGTGAGTACTGTGCCTTCTGGAACAGAGCTTTTCACCGTAGCCACCTCAGACTTTACTCTGTTGACTACTACTCTTTGTGTTCTGTTTGTGAGGAAATTATAGATCCATCTACCAACTTTTCCTGTTATTCCTTTAGCATGCATTTTGTGCGCTATTATGCCATGGTCACACTTGTCGAAGGCTTTTTCAAAGTCTGTATATATTACATCTGCATTCTTTTTGTCTTCTAGTGCATCTAGGACCTTGTCGTAGTGATCCAGTAGTTGGGGCAGACAGGAGCGACCTGCTCTAAACCCATGTTGCCCTGGGTTGTGTAATTGATGGGTATCTAGATTGTTGGCGATCTTGCTTCTTAGGACCCTTTCAAAGATTTTTATGATATGGGATGTTAGTGCTATCGGTCTGTAGTTCTTTGCTGTGGACTAAAATCACAAGGGTATTAAAAGAGGTCAACATCAAAGCTGCTTTCATAGAAAACCTGGAAGCTTTCTACAACAGATGGGAACATAAAAAGTCCGGGCTGAATGGTACTGCCCTTGATACTGGCCATGTAGTCAGAAACTGTAAGGCTGGAGATGATGTCCTGGTAGTCAGTAAATGGGGGGCTGATAGTGCTGTCCTGGGAGACAGTAATGGGGAAGC